CCAGACCACCTATTTTCCTGAATGGTTATCATCCAGGAAAAATCCCTCAGTACTTCCAGACGTGCTCACCTCTGAGCTACCAGCCAATGGTGGGCATTAGACACTTTCAAAGGTGCCCTGTCCCAATGCAGAGAAATTTTGACTTATAATAGTTTTAATCATCAGAAATCTCCCCCCCCACACACACACATACACACAGATCATTAACCTTGGCGCCAATTCCCAAGGCAAGGCTGAGAAAGTCAAGATATCATTCAAGAAAGAACAGTTCCAATTGCTTAATTTGGCAACAAATTAGAGTTGAGCTGCTCATCACTCATAATCCTCTCCCTGCTCTGTTCTTCCGAAGACTGCATCTACAATAGGTAACATTATTTAATGACCAAAGGCAATGCAAAACAAAAACTGGAATGGTAGAAACAAATAGATTTTTTACTATGAATCTCCAGTAATTTTCAAAGGTGAGCTCTTATTATTGTTAAAATTATTAAACATGCATTTTAGTGACAATGGACCAACAATGCCTGATGTTAAAAGCGATCCCTAAAAAGGTGAACATTCAATAAACTCTGCAATTCCTAGGAACAAGCCTATCATTAAGGGTAGTTTCAGGAGACAAGATTTTCATGTTTGCTGATCACAGAACTTGTAATTATACTTCAGCGACAATTCAAAAATCAAAATATTTTTAATACATTGGTTGTAAAGCATCAAGGAAAAAAATGTTTCCAAGAACAGTTAAGATAAGCGTCTTCAGGGACCAGCAGTTGGCTATGTCGCTGGACTCCCATGTAGTCGACTACGGTTCGAGTCCCGGACCAGGTGGCTTAAACTCACGCTGGGTGCATGTGTGTGCGTGTCCAAGATCCTGAGAGGAAAATGGAGAAGGGATTGTGGCATGGCCATCCCCCCTGGGGGATTTCTTGCTTTCTCTCTCTCTGTCTCTCTCTTGCTGGCGAGGGCACGCACCCTATAGCAAAAACCTCTAAAAATTAAAAAAAAAAAAAAATAAGTATCTTCACCACAAACCGTAGAACTTGGTCCCCATGCCTGCTCACTCTATGTGAGTCCCTCATACAAGCACCGCCCCCAAGATCTGCCTGAGGACAGTGACACTACGTTATATCCCTGATGTCCCTGCGTGACACTTGCTTTTTTAAGGGCAGAAGAGCTTGTGCCTACACCCCCTCATGGCCAGTCACACAAGTTAAAGAAAGCAGAGATCCAAAGTCTGCGTCCGCACTGCCTCCTCAGCATCAGCGTCCTCCACTGTGAAGGGTCAGAGCCCTCATGCAGCACCAAGGTCTTCCTCATATTCAAAGGCTTTTGCTCAGGTGTGCACCTTGGGCCACCTGAATCCAAATCACTAGGCACTGTGGGGAAGAGGGAGCTTCTCAGAAAAGGAGTGCTGGGACATGGCCTCAAACCCGAGGACTCGTGGAAGCCTGAAGGCACCGTAACGGTGGTTTTCAGGTTCTGGCTCTGGTTCTAAGTCACTGGGCAGGTCAGCACAGCCCTAAGATTTAGCTGGGCCTAGAATAGCCTAGAGAAGAATGTGGATTCTCAAATCCATCCCGAAGTCAGGAAAAGAGCTGGATTGGAAATACACCTGCTGGGGGGAGCAGTTGGGGTGGTAGTTAAGGCACTGGATCTCACTTAGCTGACTGTGCAGTTTCAGTTCTTGACCTTGCAACAAAGAACACACTGTGCGTGTGTGCATATGTGCCCAAATCCCCAAGAGGAGAATGAAGAAGGGACGCAACATGGCCATCCCCCTGGAGATGATTTCTCTTTCCTTCTCTTTCTCTCTCACATGCATCTATGATATATATATATATTTTTTTTTAAAAAAAAAACTTTAATAAAAACTAAAAAAAATAAATTGACTGCTGGTGCAGGACATAAGCACTAAGGCAGCACTGAAAAGGTGGCCACCACCTTCCTGCAGCAGCACCTCCTCCCTGGGATGGCAGATTCCCCACAAACCTCTTCCTCCCTCTCCTTCCAGAAAGAGAAACAACTCCACAGCTTATACACCCAATTATACGTGCCCATTACCATGACTCAGCCCAGAGGACAACACTCGTATAGCCCCTGGGTTTATGATCCCAGCCAACACTGCATGCTGTCCATGTTCCTTGGAGGGAGATAGTTTGTCCCCGGGGTACTGCCAGGTCTGTAGCTGTTTCTGATAAGGGACCTACATCCTAGGTTTGTCCCCCACCCCCAAATGGAAGGTCGGAACACCTCTAGGTTTACATTTGACAAGTCTGGGGTCTCATGTCAACACCAACTTCCAGGGGCCCTTGAAGATATCAATGACTTTATTAAAAAGATCATTGGAGCCAGCAGGTGGCATAGTGGTTAAGGCACTGGACTGCCACATGGCTGATCACGGTTCAAATCCCAGACCTGGGGGCCTGAAAATCATACCAGGCATGTGCATGCATGCCCCAAATTCTGAGACTAGCAAAGGGATTGAGTTGTGGTCATCCCCCTTGGGGGGTGAGTTCTCACTTTCCCTCTCTCTCTCTCAGGCAAGCGTATGCACCCTATGGCAAAAAAAAGACTAGACCACCATCCCCTCAATGGGGTACTTCCCAGCTTCCAAGAAATTAGTTTCCCTTAAAAAGCCTTAGGTCTATATCCTTGGTAGGCAGTGAGGACCCAAGTATTTCAACACTTGGCTATTCCTGAAATAGGGAGGACCGGGACCAGCAGATGGCTTAACGACTACATTGCTGGACTCCAAGTAGTTGACTGCTGTTCAAGTCCTGGACACGGAGACTTAGGATTCATGCCAGGAGTGTGTGCATGTGTGCCCGAAATCCCAAGAGGAGAATGGAGAAGGGATTGCAGAGTCTCCGTCTCTCTGGCGAGCACACACGCTCTATAGCAAAAATCTCTTTAAAAAAAAAAAAAAGTGAGGATCACACTGCTCAAAAGACATTTTCACCAATGAACAAGTCACAGAAGGGGACAGCAGGTTTTTGAAAGCCAAACACATTAAACCTTTAGAAATGACTATATCCACTCAGGGACACTCATCCACCTTACTTTCCCTGCCGCATCAACACAGGAAGGGCCGGGAAGAGGGTACAGTGCTAACAGCGTTGGCAAAGACCTAGACGATCCGAATTTCCTATTTCACCACTTACATGACCATAAATCAGTTTGAAACTCCTGACTCCAATCTAGTTTTGTGCCTTGGGTCAGGCAGATAAGGCACCAGGGAAGATAGATACACAGGAGATTGGCCTAAATGCGCTTTGGCCACAGCTGGTGTGGTGAGTGAATGTAACTCAAGTTCATTCTACATATTCCCCATCAGAAAGCCATGTGTTTGCAAAGGTATTCTCCAGGCTCTGGACCTGAAAGAATTCTACAAGGGGAGCTCAGTTATGGCCAATCTACAGAATCGCACAGAGGCAAAAAGAGCACAACTAAAGTGAAGAAAAACATATTTTCTTCTACACCTAAAAGATCAAGGTAACTATTGGTACAGAAATTAATGAGAGGGGACAAAGTTTTTGTTGCCAAACAGATTAACATGCAGGTCCTTTAAAAACAAAACAGAAAAATCTTGCACAATAATAGTAGCCATGTGTTAGCCACTTTAATATAAACTGTGATCAAAACTCAATTACAAGAGTTCAAAAAGGCATAGAAAAACCAATGATTTCCATTTTATTACAAATTTTAAAATCTGGGACTAGTTAAAAAAAAAAAAGCTTATATACTAATTTCAGCCCAGGGTTAACTTTTTTACAACCAAACCAAAAATTACTACATGGGAACATCAATGCGACAAACAAGTAAAATTTGCAAACCCAAGTCATAAACTTAGAAAATTAATAATCATGGTTTAAGGGCCATAGCCAAAGAGCAACTGATGCCTCAGTTACACTTGAAAGAAATTCTGCCTTCTGTGAGGGCAGAAGAGGACCATACAAACAATTCTGCTTCGAGAAATTTGCATAGAAATAGAAAATGCTAGAGCCTTTACCACAAATGAAATTGGAAAGCCTCAACATGTTAAACTCAATCCAAGAAGCACCAAATGTTAAATTGAAGCCATGGTTAAGAGTAAAACATTTCAATTCCAGCTCCACAACTTGCAGAACACAAGGATTTCAGGTGTGCAAATCAGCTGTAGGCAAACTCTTTAAAAACAGGAATTTTACACACTGCAATTATAACACAAGGCAGACATTTCTGCAGAATTGTTTGAGTTTCAGAAGGGTACCATCAGGCATCAGGGTCTCTTTCAAAGTCCTTCTCTGGGCAAGTTACATCTTCCAGCCACAATAACCACCTCTTACAGTTATCTAGCCTCTGCCTGT